GGGGTTGGAAGCCGGGATGTAGCAACAAAGTGGGCGGCAGAAAGACAAAAAAAAAAAAAAAAAAAAAAAGGGACAGAAATGACAATCGCCTTATGCATCTTTCGAAACAGCCTTATGAAAATCCCTTTTGAAAATCTTTTGAAAACCCCTTTGGCTGGTTCATATATAATATGAATAGATACTTTCTGGAAAATTTAAGCTTACTGGTAAATTAGTGCGAGGTTAAAAAGGAATAAAATTACCTGAATTCTAAAACTGAGGAAGGGGAACAAGTGGAGATTTATTGACTAATAAACATCCTTCTTATTATCTCTAAATTCTAAGAAAATAAATGTAGCGATCAACTGATTGGATATCTGGAAACAAGTTATTTTAAGAGTTTTCTTGTTACTAGCAAAAATAAGTTTCTTTGCATACAATGACGGCATAAAAGGCCATAAATTAGATAATTGTTTTAGATAAATAGGCTGATTACAGGAGTTTTTAGCTAAGAGCATTAACATCTAGAAACAAGGAGCTAAGACTGGGTTGCAAACCTCAGCATGGTAAGCTTTTATAACTATTATACATACAGAAATAAATGTAGACAGTGTCTGCCCAAAATATGTGCAACAAATGAGAGCAAAATGCACAGAACAATAAATGTCCCTCTGTTGTTCTTCATTCTCATTAGTAAGTGAACGATTTGCATCATGTTTTAACTGAAGATGTTTAGTTTCGACTAATTAAAGCAATCTGATCCACTTAGGTCTATCCTTAAAGAGACAGGAGCAATAAAACCTAAGGCTGTCGCTGCCTAAGAACAAGAACAATCTACACCAACACACAGATTGGCAGCCAACTTGGAGACATGTGGAGGCAAGAGGAAGTTGTTGAGCCCCAAGTTTCTAGATTGCAAGACGACTACTCACCCCAAACAGAGCACAATGTGTACGCAAAATATGCGCAAACAATAGAGCAAAGTGCGTCACTTTATGTCTTACCCTTTTTGTTTTATTTTTTCGAGCTACATGCATGTTTCACAGATTTATGAAACACTTAAATGTTCGACAAGGTTATATACTCCAAATAGTTACATTTTGACCAACCAAAGCAGCCTCAGTCACTTTGAAAAGATGTGAGATGATCGCTTTGTGCAACAAAAGCCTTTGTAAGGTTGGCTTTTATAACTCGATACGGCACTGCCGTTACCAGGCACAAAGAGTGCAGATATACAAAAGCTGTTCCTTCAAGAAAAACGACAAATTGTTTCTTTAATCACGCAAATATTCCGCACACACACTCTCTTACCTCTGTGACTGCCTGTATAGACGCCCCGTGCTTCAGAAGGAGCTCCATCACTTTCAGTCTGTTTTTCTTACAGGCGATGTGGAGGGGAGTAAAACCATTCTAAGACATTAAAAAAGGGAAAAGATAAAAAGCGTTCAAAAAGTATGCAAAAAAAAAAAAAACTTCCAGAAAGTCTTTGTGTCTCTCCTTCAAGATCCTTCAGATTTGGAGGAGGATAAATCTTGAATATCAGATAGAAAGCTTAAACAAAGGGAAAACTTTGTCTTTCCTTTAACTTCTTTTTCCCTACTTCTGCCTCTGAACCTGAGAAATATGTTGAAATAATCAAGCCTACCCTGCACCAAAATAGATCCTTTTTCCTACAGCTCACTTTTTTCTCTCCAACTTGTACAGTCTCTCTTCCCTTTCCTCCGTTTCTTTGAGGTTTCTGGCTCAGCCGAATGACTTCATTTTCCAACCCGTTTCTTTTTTCCCTCCTCATTCTCTCCAGTCATAAAGTCCCTGTGCTTTAACCACACCCAGACTTTTCCCATTATAGAGCCCAGATCCTGGTTCTTACGTCAGAATAGAGGTTGGTGATATATTTTCCATCACTCTCTTTGTCCTGTTCTCTGCCCAATCTCCCACATTTAATTATTTCTTTTAAATTGTTCCATAACAAGATTAAATTTTTGTGTTTTCTCGTCTGTTATGTAACGGAAAAGTCTCCCCCCCCCATCTTTGATTCAATAATTTCTCCTCACCAGCGCTTTAGCGTTGGGATTGGCCTTCTTGTCCAAAATGACCTTCGCCACCTTGTAGTGACCGCAGTGCGCGGCCACGTGCAGAGCTGTCAGGTAGTCGTTGGTTACGTCGTCCACAGGCACCTCGTGGTGCAGCAGCAGCTGGACACAGTTCAGGTGGTCGCCCTGTGTCGCCATGTGAAGAGGAGACAAGCCGTTCTGGAGAGAGAAGAAGAGGAGAGGTCTCACTCTAATGCAGCAGCAAACTGATAATGTTAGAATGAATTGGAGTAAGTGATGGTGTAAGGGTGGGACAAAAGCTGAAGGTGCACCTTGGTCTTGGACATTAGTGGAGCTCCTCTGTTCAGCAGCATCTCCACCACCTGCTCATGGCCACTTCTGGCTCCGCAGTGTAGAGGAGTCAGGCCATCCTGTAAAAGCAACAACCAGCAGGATCAGCTTTTTCTACTTACTAACGCCATCAAAAGCCTTTTTCAACAACAGAACAGCAATACTAATTGCTAAAATTATTCCACTGACCATCCATCCAGCTCTAGTGTGTAGCACAAGTTACGATAAAGCAGGTTTCATTATGAGAGAAGACAGAGATTGAGCATTGGAGAAAGTGGAGGGAAAATGTAAAAATGGCCACTGTCTACAAATTCTTCAGATTTGTTGACCTCTTTGTTAACCTCCCAGAACACCAGCGTTGTTGAAATGTCACCATGTGTGCGTGTGTGTGTGTGTGCAGGTACCTTGGTCCTCGCATCAATTCTGGCCCCCCTCTCCAGCAGCAGTCGCACCATGTTTGTGTTTCCCCGTTTGGATGCTACATGCAGAGGTGTGATGTCATTCTGCAATAAAAGATAAGGCTGACAATAAGGCACTCAGTCATTCAGTCCCTCTGATCAACAGTTTTCTCATTGAGATGGTTAGGATCAAAGCAGAAGGACAAGACAGAATTAAGTGAGTGCTACTGGTTACGTTTTTACTTGTAAAAGCCATTTATTTGTTTTGTTAGAGAGCAAAGCTCTCCCTCGGACAGCATTGAAGCTAAATGACTAAACACCGCCCTCTAGAGGAGAATATTTTAACACATCCTTTTAACTTGTTTTTCCCAATAATTTGACAGAATCAAGTAAATATACAGCTGATTTAAATTAAAGAAATAATAAAAAATAAAACATCTAAGCTTGCAGATGATGTTGCGCAAAGAGGAGAAAGCATGAATATTTGAGACTGATTATGAGCACACTTGCATGTCGAGTCTGCTTTATTTATGGTTTTAAAAGTAGCTCTAGATATATACCACTATGCTTTGATCATAAAGTCCTGCTTTAAACTAAAGGAGTTTAAAGCATTGTATAACAAAAATCTACTTTTTTTGTGTGTGTTTTTTGTTTTCCCACTAGTGATCAGAGCATGTTACGGCACAATGCAAATGTATTCGTACCCTTTGAAGTTTTCACATTTAGTTACATTACAGCCACAAACCTTCATGTATTTTATCATGATTTTCAAATATTCCCAATATTTGAAAATCTGAACACTGTTGAAACGCACTGATCTATTGAACATGGAAGGGAGAAAATGGCTACCTTCACAGTGGAAACCACTAGCATTCACCCCTCACCCTCTGGTACAAAATCAAAAGCGATGCAAGTATCTGTGTGTTCCCCCCAACTGAGTGACAAAGCAGCTGCAGAATCAAACAGTGGAGTTGCTGATGGAGTATTTGTTGCACCTTGCCACTTACCCTTGCCTTGAAGTCCACAGCTGCCCCTCTGTTGAGCAGCAGTGTTGCCACATTGATGTTGCCGTAGTGAGACGCGATGTGCAGTGGAGTGAACCCGCTCTGAGAATGATGAGACATAAAAGAGGTGCAAAAAAAAAAAAGAATTTAAAAGGCAGTAAGAACTAAGCAAAACCTGTTAGGAGACGAGCCAAAAGCAAAGCACAATGAGACAGTATATTTTAGCACTGGCTGGTCAAATGCAGATGAAAGAAAAAAAAAAAAAAGCCCATCAGAGAGCATAGGTCAAACATGCTATCAAACTAGAGTAAAATTCTACTTTTATGGCAAGATTGCTCTCTTTGGCCATTGAACACATCAACGAAATTGAAGGCAAACCAGCACCACAGGACCAGATATGACTCATTTAACTAAGGATTACAACAGTGGAGTTTTCATAAATGTTGAGCGATGAGTTATTATTATTATTATTTTTTTTTTCTTTTTGTTAAATACGAGTCTTATCTTTTTAAGAAATTCTAAGCTTATTCTATACAAACTAATACATCTAAAGCTACAGTTAACTGAAAACTAAGCAATGTACGTCAGCTTTGCTGTCAATTTTGTTTTATTTAAAATTTGTTTCTGTTTGCTGATGACATGCTTTAATCTGACAGGAAATCTGGCTTTAATCTGGCATGGAAGTGCATGCAGGTAAGCATGCACTTTCACTCAAATCTAGTTATTAGAACCCTGCTTTGAATTAAAAGATTAGCTCTATTCAGAAAACCAAAATGTTTGAACTGAACCCCGGCTTGAATTAAAACTCCTCAGTGCAAATTAATGTTTTATGTTGAACCTTTCAAAGAACCAGACCAAACATGTGACATGATGGTTTTGTATTTTTTTTTTTCAGTATGATTACGACTGATTGAAAGAAATTACAACATATTATCAAAATCAACACTTACGACAAATTCAAGTTGTTGTATCGACACGACGAGTTCAATTAAGAAACAGTTGAATTCGAAAATGACACCGTGTAACAAGTAGAGATGGCAATCTGATGATCGCACGCTCAGCAAATCACACCAAACTTAAACCTGACCTGTTTTTGATCAGAATGCCTCACTCCTTTCCTTTTTGTACACGTCTTCTGTTTGCTGATAAGTGCGGCAGGAGCTGAAACAGCTGTCTGACCTTTAATCCTAACCCCCAACTCTCATCTCAAGCCTCAAATTTATGGTCAAATATGGGGCATAAGAGAACTGTGATTTGTGACAAAACACACTTTGTCATTTATGCAGCTTCGGAACTCTACTGGAACACCTAAATGACATCTAAAATAACAAAACGAAACTGTCACTGCATACGTACGAAGCAACATCTAAATGTGATGCGGGCTTTAAAAAAAAAAAAAAAAAACAGGCACAGAGGTGAGGCGCAAAAGCGTTCATGCCAGCATTTAGCATCCATGCCAGCAGACCGAAGGCTTTGCGGTGGAGAGCGTGAATGAGAAATGAAAAGAGGAGGAAGAGGAAGAAGAAAAGAAGATGTACCTCTGTTGTTCTATTCACCATCATCTAGAAGGGAGAAAGGAAGAGGCAGGGGACGGAGGGGTAAGAAAACAGGAACAAATCAAGGGGGGAAAAGGTTGCACAGGAAGAGAGAATGGGGCGGTTAGTGCACCACAACAAGTACAACAGCAACGCCGACATGGTTGCACCAAGCTCTCAGATGGATATGGGGCGATGCGGTTGTAAATAACGAAAATAAATCAACGGGAGTCACAGCAGCACACACAAAAAGAAGATGAACTGAAACTCTGCCTTGTGTTGTCTGCTGTATGTTTCAGCACTGTGCGCACTAGACATGTTTATATAACTTAAGCAGTAAAGACTTCTACCACTCTTTTTGTTTGTTAACATTTCTTCAGATTGTTAATATTTTAAATACCGGCCTGCAATCTTTGCTTAATAAGCCTGTGATTTTTATTTATTCACAAAACCGCAGTCCCCCATTCATTTGCACGGGAATTCAAGTTGCAATGGGGGAATTATATGTTTAAATCTCGTTTCCTACAAGTGAGAGTAACAAAATAAATAAATAAATAAAAGAGACCGTACCTTTGACTCAACGTCTGCGTTGTGGTCGTTCTGCAGGAGGAGGGCGGCGGCCTTGGTGTCGTCTTTCCGGGCAGCGATGTGCAGCGCTGGGAGTCGGACCTTCCCCTTGGTGTCGTTTTCCAGTAGGAGGGAAACCACCTGGTCGTGGCCCTGCTGCAGCGCCACCGCCAGTGGAGTAAAACCATCCTGTAAGTCAGCAGAAACAATTCAAGAAGACGTGAGTGACTTCTGTTGAAAGGTGGAAATTGTTGAAAACACATTAAAGAATGCTTTTTTATATTTTTTTTAGTTCTTACTCAATCAGACAGCTTATATGAATATCAAAGCATTAGCATTAATTGTGCATGCTGCTGATGGCATATTTAGTAGCTATCCAATAACTATCTAGTTTGTTGGCTTATTAAGTTAGCAACAACAATTTATGCCATTTGTGCAAGTAGCATTTAGTTTACAATAACTTAGCATTTTTTAACATTATAGTAACTGCTAGTGAGACCTAAGAACAGCAGTGTTTCCCAACCCTGGTCCTCAAGGCATACTAAGCTGCATGCTTAAGATGTTAAGACTCATACAGTATGGTACAATACAACAAGACGCGATATTTCTTCATTGTCAGAACAAATCTGAACTTTGTCCTGCATCACAGCATTAGTATTTACAGACATTTACACAAAGAAAACGGAATCAAGACCGCTATTGGATAACACACATTTAACCCAAGGGTCAGGATAATAGTTCCATTCATAGAAATGTCATTCAGATCACTAAGTAGCCTGAATTCATTAATATTTATTGATGTTCTCATGCGTCCAACATTGGAGTAAATAGTAAAACAAACAACCTCAACAATTCAGTCAGCCTTTGGGGTCTTCTGATGGAATTCATCATCGCCACAATCAATCTAAATTCTTATCGCAATAGCAAATTTTTCACAAGAATGATGAGCGATTCAATAAATGCCTTCTCCTACCTAGCAGCCAAATTCAGCTCATGTTAGCTAACTAATTGAACATAATGAATAGCTACTGGTAAACAGCTGGAAAGTGGCATCTTGAGCCTTAGTAGCATTTTAGTTCACCTTAAATTAACAATTAGTTTGATATGGAGTTATATCACAAACTGGCAAACCATAAAACAATTGTGCAAGTCGAAAGGTAGATCTGAACTCTGACACAAGCAGGTTGCTAAACAAACAATTGACATCTTCAGAAAGGCTACTGTGGCTTTTTGCTTTTGCAAAACCGTCTTAGTCAGATGTTTATGCCCAACAGATGCAGACACTTGTAGTAAGGATAGCGGGCATGTTAATCTGAAATCATGCAGATGAAATTTGTCTGAAAGCACAAAGCAATCTAATAACCACTTAGCATGTTAGGCAATTCAGTCCTACAGATAAGTGCTTAAATAGTAGTTCAGTGTCTCGCTTTAGAACAAAATCGAAAGGGAATACATCTGCTAATGGATTTCAAATGAGGAGCGGAGACGAACCTGCAAACACACAACGATTCTCCTATGGGTCACTGGTGAAAATAAAAGATTTCTCCTCACAAGTTTCTGCTTGTGCGACAAATAAATGTATATTTACGCAGGGCGCAGACCCTCAGGACAACACCGACTCGGCATCATTACACACCCAAACATCAAAGACATGCTGCACACAAAACTGAACAGAGGCGAGCATCTGCACAGACACACGTCAGCATGTACACACACATCCACAGCCTGATCCGCAGACACACAGCTCCAAAGTGGCGCACACAGCCACGCCCGAGGGAGCGCAAATATATTCAAACGCATAAATTTAGCCTATTTTGAGGGTTTCAAAAGTGGTGAGATGCACTGCAGGAAACATCTCGTGTTTAATCTGCCTTATTATGGATTCATGTAGCCTATTTAATAGCCTAAAAATACCCTGAAAGACAATAAAAGATGTAGAAACAAAGCATGAAAAGGAAGTCGATCTTTATCTTCTTTAAAGATTGCAGTGACTCAGCATTATTTAGTTTTGCTGAAACAGTACCGATTAGATTTAACCAGAGACGAGATGTTTTGTCATGTAAATGGGACACTAAACTCGGAACAGAAACGCAAACTAAATATTACATTTATAGAAAAAGCAAAAAGAGCAACAAAAAAAAAAGATGCTGGAAAATTTCTAATTTCTCTTGCTCCCCTGAAATATTTGAAGCTGAATTATTAAACACACTGAGATGCCTCACGGAGGCATCAACATAGATATGTTTGGTTGCATGAATTATTCACTCTGTGTCCCACTGGAGGAGGCTGGAGAAGAAGGTCAGGGGAGGGGAATGGTGGGATGTGGTGGAAGACAGACTGAGGATGAGACAGATGCCGACTAAAACGTAAATGATTGAGACAAATGAAGGAGGGAAGAGGAGGGAAACATGGGATGAGGTGCGATGGAGCGGTTTGTGGAAATGTCAAGGACAAAGCTCTGAACATAGGACATTGGATTTCCAAAAAAAGGATAGTTTAAAATGTGTCCAGACATCAGAAGGGTAGATCTTCATCCCGGAAGATTTCAACAACATTGTTTTTGTAAAAAATAAAAAAAATAAAAAGGTGCAGACCTTTTACATCTATCAGTCGGCAGCTACATGTTGTACTGTAAAGAGGTAGCAAATCTGATGAAAAGGACAAAATAAAGCACTGGAGCAGGATAAATATTTGTTCTTCTGCCAAATATGGCCCCAGAAACAAAAGGCCTCTAGTTAATGCAGCAGTTCCTCCATATCAGGCAAAGACTGCAAACAACAAAAACGTCTCATAGTTTAAAATTAGAAAATTCTTTCATCTGGTGCTTGTGTGCAATTTATTTAACCAGCTTATGGTTTGCAGAGAAAGGTAGCAAAGGTACAGAATATGACCTAATTTTTACTGCAGTTAAAGATTTTCAACAAAATGAAAATGAAAATTGAAATGAAATGAAATTTGAAAATGTTTAATTTGCTATCCCAGCCAACATAAACATGCATCAAACAAGACTATGATTGTTTTTATTTTTTTTGTAATATATATGAATAAAAATGTATGTTTACTCAAACATTGTAATGTAATGTAATACTTACATAGTTTGATGATAAACAAGTTAATTACACTTCTAAATGTTACATTAAAGTCATGCAAGTTAAAATGTTTTGTTTGTTTTCAAGTTTAACCCTCTTCTTCTCGGATCCTCACCGATGCTCAATAGGATCAAATAACCCTGCTGTAAAACATTCAGTATAAGTTGATTAATGTTATTTTTCATGCTTGCAGGAGTTATACATTTTAAAAGTGAAATGTTGTTTGCTGCTTGGGCTGAAACTATTGAATCTTTGAGTAATCAATCAAGTTATTATTTCTTACGATGGGCAATTAAGACTGTTTCGGATGTTCAGGGATGTTTATTTCTTATGTGTATATGTTTACATCAAATTTTTGGAAAATAAATAAATAGTAAAAATAAATAAATACTAAGTGATAATAATCAGACCTACTGCTTGCTGGTGGCTACCAGTCGCTAGTAAACATCATCTGTGTCCCAATAGGACAGTGTGTTTGTCATAGTCATGCAAAGATGCCAGCTTTTTGTCAGGCTGCAGATGGCTCACTCACAGCGCTCTGCTTGCTCACGTCAGCCACACAACGTCACTGATTTCTCCCCGTACTGGCAGCTGAAGCGAGCCAAGGTCACTCTTATCAAACGTCATCGTCACACTGTGCTCCTCATTTCTCCTTTTACTCATTAATCTCCCCGAAACCCTTATTCTTATTCCGAATCATAATTTCCAACATCTCCTAAATGACCCACTAGTCAATGGCATCCGTTTGCCAGAGACACTTTTTTTTGCGATAATGTTTAGAGTTTAATTCCAGGCGAGTTAATTCGGTGATGGGGCAACGTGTAGTTGCTAGAGATGGGTGAAGAGTTGTGTGGGTGCATGCAAACATGTTTTATAAGTACTTTTATTGCCTGCACTTGTGTGTGTGTGTGTGTGTGTGTTCTTCTTCTTACCTCTGTAGCGATGCTCTGACTGGAGCCGTTGTCGAGTAAGAACTGCACCACTTCCATGTGATTCTCCTGCGCTGCCATGTACAGTGGAGTAAAGCCATTCTGGGAACAAAAGCACAAAATAATCCTGTTTTACAGAAACAATGACATCAGATACAAACCAGATTCTCAATCTAAGCACGTTTGACTCACAGCCCCGTAACATTAATGCACCTGAATATTAGAAAGAGTACAAAATACAAAACAATCCATGTTTTTAGGTCTATTGGTGTAACTTTGAAGGGTCTTTGTTTTCCGTCAAGCAAAAGTTGCGCATGCTTCAGAACTTCAGTGCTTTTTGAAGCCGTTTATTTCCAAGATGCAGCCTGACAATTGTTTTGTTTTTTCTCATAGAAAGTGTCGCTGTTTTGTAGTCAGCCGTTTCTTTTTTTTTTTCTGATTGAAGTTTTAAGTATTACTGTCTTTGACTGTGTGATATTGTTTGTTTGTTTGTTTGTTTTTTGTCTCTTTCCAATCTTCTCAATCTTGTAACTCAGTTACAGTAAATTGTTGCTCAAACTCAGCCAGCGGATAAGTTTTGTATGAACTGCTACATACAGGTGGATCTTCTCTACTGTCATCACACAAGCAGTTTCTTTGCAGGCGACATCAAGATCCTGAATGTCCTCAAAGGGCTGGTCGTGGCGGAACGTCTTCATGAAACTACCTATTAGACTGTAAAAATATTGTAGCTTTCTGTACTTCTTTTAACATCTATTCACATTGATGTAATGTGGCATTTTATTGGACTGCTAAAATAATATTTAAGCAGACAACTGCTATCGCGAGCGCCGAGTTTGACACACACGCACCAAAACTTAAAGTTCACATCAATCCACGCTGCAGGCAGCAACTGTGCTTACATTCCAGTGTCACTGTCTCATTTTCATTTTGAAAAAGGTTTAAACACCCTTTGCTTGATCTCCGTATATAAATTGAATAAAGCACTATGTCTAAGAGTTGATCGCCCACATCCCACCCAGAAACAGCAAAAGCTGGCTGTTTTTTTTTTTTGTTTTTTTTTAAAGCAGAGAGAACTGCAGTAGCTCTCTCGTGATGTGCATACTGTCGCCTCCACACATACCTCACACCTGATAGCGGTGGAGATAAAACCTGACCTGCTGCCGGGGTTACTGTGGAGTATGTGTTTGTTTTTGAGAGGCTGCTACTTGACACTTTAAAAGAAGTGCACATCACCAAACACATCGCTTAATAGTCGGCCTTTTGTTGCTATTTCGACTTGTTCTCTTTTTTAAAATTTGCAAAAATTTTAAGAGGAGAAATGATTGCTTACAGCCAGACTTTTCTGTAAACTTTCAAAGTGGCCTTGATCGATGCGTCTTTCCTTTTCTTTCGTTTTAGTCTAGGATGTGCATGAAAGCACATGTTGTTCCAAAAGCAACAACAGAACAGCTCTTCAGTGGAGAAAAACTTTTTTCATTAACAATCTAACGTTAAGGGGTTAACAAGACACACAACTTGCTGTAGGTTTCATGTGTACAGTTATGTTTTTCAATAATAATCTGGAGGATTTCACTGTATTACTCCACGTTTTTATTTTTATGGAGGTAAATATCTACAGCAATCAAACTCCTATTTTTCCTGGCTGAATATTTGTTCAAAGAGATTTTATGTTGGGTCTAAATCAATCGGCTGTACATTGCTGTGAATTCAGGACTCCTGCAAGATAATGTCTGATGGATTAAGAGAAATCCTGCAGCCGCAGCACTGCAGCGGAGCCAGAACTGAACGAACTGTTTGAAACGAGCGTTAAAAGGGCCACAAAGATTTCCTGCAAGGCAAGCATCTCAGTGTTTGAACTAGGCTTGATTGTGTTCATCAATCACACAAAAAGATTCTCATGTAGATCAACAGAATCACTTCCACTAGCATTTAGTCAACAGACACAAATTAATGGGTGTGATAATAGGACATAAAAATGACTAAGCTCCACACACTTCTGGGTTTTTATTTATTTACTCTCAACTGCTCAGCATGTTCAGCTTTTGGTACTGATCCATTTCAGTGCCTCGTGATTTACTGAATGTTATAATAAAACTTCCCCCTCCCCCATCACTGACAGGCTCCAGCAAAATGAAATTCATGATTTTCTCAAGAGCCATTGCTGGAGTTTCAATGCAGCCTTACACATATCAATAACAACTTATTGTATTTTCCTACTCTCAGCAGCTTCTGCCAAGGTTTTGACTTTGACATTATTATGGGTCCTCTGGTCACAGAGTCCACTGTGTGTGTGTGTGTGTGTAAACGTGCGTGTCGACTATTGAATATAGGCCAGGCTGCACTGCAAAACTGCTGACTCAGCACACACACAGTCCCCAGATGGATGATGTGTGTACAGCAGCTTGCGCACACATTCATCTGTATGCGTGCGCACACTCCACTACGCTTCGCACCGTGGGTGTGTGTGTGTGTGCGTGTGTGTGTGTCGTACCTGGGACTGCGCGTTGACGTTTGCGCCATTTGTGACGAGCTCCTTCACCACTTCATTCTGCCCGGCGAGGGACGCGATGTGCAGTGCGGTGTTCCCTTTCTGTTCGAGCAAACAAGCAGGAAACAAAGATGACTTCCGAGGCGTGGGCCATGGCGCGAAAGCTACAGACCGCCACTTCAAACGGTGCGAAAACATCCAGATGAAGTGGATTCTCTCTCAATGAAAAGAGAAAAATAAAATTAGAGCTTTAGAATTAGTTGGTAATACATTCATGACAACTTGATAGTAATTAAGCCTTGAAACTGGACTGATGCTACCTCTAACCCAGAAGAAGATTCTAATTTTCATTCATGTTTAAAGGCTGCAAGATGTGTCCGGTATGACGGGAAATTAGACAAGGCAGCTGCTTTATTGCTTTTGCTTCACATAAACTTAAAATCAAGGAATGACCAACAATCTTCAGTGATTCATTTACTGTGAATCTCGGTACATAAACTCTGAAAAAACCGTTTATATTCTCTTTTTCTTTAAAAAAAAAAAGGCTTTGATAAAAGTTTCTATCTGCATTCCTGTGGAGAAAAAGCAGGATTTTGTCACTAATATTGGCAGATTTTAAAAATGTGTTTGAATGCAAACTCTGTAAAACACTGTGGAATTGGATTTTTTTTTTTTTTTTACCCATTTTTGTCTGAATTGGCTCTGGAAAATATTACTGAAAATGCAGCCAGTAGAAAAACGACTCCAGAAAACTATCTGGAAAGATTACCTGGGGAAAACGCCACTGTAGTGAAAAACAAAGAACATGTTCACCATCACGTTTGACTGAAACGTAATGTGGCATCTTTGAGAAGTGTAAAATCATAAAAGTATATTTTTAAAATCCCACCGAAGCTAATTTTAACGTGATCATGTGTTTCACTACGTTAAACCTAAAAATGGCAAAGCTCTCAGCAAATCTTTCTGCTTGAAAAGATAGAAAATAATGCTTTTTCTATTATAGTTGGAATAGTGATGTGTGACGCCATGAGCGTTTTGCTGCATTGCTTCTAAAATCCTGTAAATGAATTCGGCATTTAATAGATAATTTATATTTCATTCATATGGCTGAAAATTCTGTCCACCTGATGACATGTACAAGTGTTGTTTAGATTTATTTTAAGTTTTGAAAGTCTTAATCTTCTTACAGACGGTTTTACACAAAGTCTGAAGTAATAATCTGCCTCAGGGATCGAACTCAGCAAACCATATACGTTTTTTGATCTCAAAAACCGTTTCAGTTCAGCAGATAAAAGTTTCACAATTCTCACTTGAATTGTGATAAAACTCACATTTAGAGTTTTCTGAACAAAATCTCAATATATGGAAAAATCACACAAACAGCACTAGAACTTACGCAGTGAGAGAAACAATAAGCGCAACAATCAGATGTACATGTTTGATAAGTGTGTTTAAGTGGTTGTTATCACACACGCACGCACGCACACACCCACACGTGCACGCTAACTGATTAAATGGATGCACCTGTTTCATGTCTGAAAGCTACATAAAGCAGCAGCTGTTGTCTTTCTGTCATTCCTGCTGCCACTGTTGCTCAGAAAAACTCAATCCTATTCAATGCAGCACAGAAATAGGCCAGAATTTGATGTTGATATTGTATGTAACAATATCAATGTTAATATTGATATAATATTGTGGAGTACTCACTGCTTTTACAAATTTAGAATATGCTTAAAAAGTCCAGAGTATACTTACTTTGCTTTTTTTAGATTGTTATGCAGAGAGACTCCTATTTTTGTTGCCCAGGAAAGGAATTTGAACAATCTAAGAATCCAGGAGAACAGGAACATTTTGTTTTTATTACTACTTAGAATAAAAGTACGTACTTTTTTAGTACGTACGTACAAAGTAGTACGTACAAAATTTTAACGTACTAAGAAAGTCCAGACGATACCTACTCACTTTTACTTTAGTAACCCACAAGAGGGATTAGAGCAAACTAACAGGAAAAACTATCCTGGCTACTCAGAACTGGAATGAATCATCCACATTATTAGATTCTCTTTCTTCTTTTGCCCTTTCCTTTGGTTTGTGATTTCATTTGTATTTCCTTTTGAATTCATGTAAAGCACTTTGAATTGCCTTGCTGCTGAAAAATGTGCTATATACATACAATTACCTTACGCTTACAGCCAAGAAATGAATAACGTAGTGGAATAGTGTCAATATTCCAAAACCAAATCTGAATTTATCTGTCCCCCGTAGCACACAACGATTCATCTCCTAAGATGCCATTAAAGCAATGTGACTTTGGGAAAGTGCAAATTCAGCAGACTACTGTTGTGTTGCGTGATGTGTCTGTGTTTATGAGGCCAATGGGTGCTACCCACCTTGGTGGCTGCATCCACGTTGGCGCCCTGCTTGATGAGTTCAGCTACCACCTCCACATGACCCTCCTTTGAGGCCAGATGGAGAGCATTTAAACCATTCTGTATGGGGAAAAAAAGAGGGAAGACAAGATGGCAGTAAGAAAGAGAGCAATCAAAACCAAGAAAAGGGTTCGATAGGTCTAACAGAAAAACAGTCTACACAACCCTGTTGAACTGCAGTTTTGTTTTTTTTTTAATGATGGAAAAACATAGGAGCAAAATACATAATTTCAGCCTTTTTTCCACAGTTAATGTAATCAAATGTATCAAATGTTTTACAGGGAAAGTAAAAATCGCAAACTGCAAAACTGGCAACATAACTGTGAAAGTCTTTGGGCTAGCACTTTGTCAGAGTGCCTTTTGATTTTATGAGGAGTTATCCGCATAGACAATCTTGTCTTCACTACATTCGTCCACTTTCTGTGCAAAAAACTGTTAGACTGTAAGGTCGACTCGCCCGCACAACCTTCTTCAGGTTACTTCACAAATTTCTTATTGGATTTAGGCCCGAGCCGTGGCTGCGTCTTTCCAAAACTTCAACGTTCTTCAGGTGAAGCCAATTTTTTTCATTTGTTTTTGTTAAGTTCGATGCTTTGGGTCTTTGTCGTGATGAAAAATTAAGTTCCTCTTCATCTTTCAAGCGGGTCGACCTCAAGTTCACTGGGCATGAAAGATACTTTCTCTCATACTTTCGACAGACTTTGTTTTTATGAACCTTATGCTTCAGTTTTGCCTTCCTGCTCTAAAATCCAAGCAAAGAGTCACAGAGTCTAGAAGTTAAAATACCTTATGAAAACGTCTGTTTTTCAAATTATTTTGGACATTTCAATTGTTGTAGGCTTTGCTGCATCTGGCCTTCCTGACCAGAATGGCAGTTCCAGTATTCAAGTGTCCTGCAACATTTTTCTTTTCTTTTTTTCTTTCTTTCCTTTTCTGGTTATCAGTATGATACGCTTACCTGATTGCAAATGTTAATGTCGACTCCATTCTTCAGGTAATCCAAAGCTTTCTCGAGGTTTCCGGCCCGAGCTGCGCGCAGATAACAAGCGTTCACATCCGTCTGCAGAAAGAGAGGAAGCGGAGGGTTCATTATCTTGGCAATCCGCGTTAAGTAGATGCATGGCAAAAAACAAAAATCTACTCCTTGTTGAGGCCTAATGAACATCAAAGCAATCTAAACAATTTCTGGAGCACTTAAGACGGAAACAAAGGCTCACTAATGTACAGTATGCCTCATAACATCCTCATCACCCCTGTAGCACATGCCTTCAGTAAATCCCTCAAGGCTCGTATGTTAAACATCAAATAAAAACAAGAGGTTAACATCAGGACGGTGAGCTCAGAGAGGCTGCATGTAAGCCAGAATGGGTTCAATGGTTTGTGTGGGAGCTTTTTGGCTAGAAGACATAAATTCATGAAAGAGTACACAGTTTTCAACATCTCTGTTGGATTAAACTGCCAAACGGTTGAGACATTTACCACGTCTTGGATGACGGTTTAGTTCGAACCAACACACTTTTCTTCACATGACACAGATATGATTGTAAAAAAAAAGTTTATTGTCTGTGAAAGGCTGTTGAGGCCTGTGCTGATAACTCACATTAATCAAGGCAACTGTCATTCGACAAAAAAAAAAAAAAGAAGAAAAAGTTGAACAATAAACAGTGTGGTGCTTTAATTACCAGCACGTTTTTTTTCTGATCCCAGTCTCTTCTGGAAGCGCTTTCTACACCAGGGGAGCAGCAGATCTACCGGTAATTTAATTATTCTGCCACAGCTTCCAGCTCACATGAATATACTCCTACATGTGTGATGCTATGTGTGAGAATTTTATGGTATGATTGAGTTGGTAAAAGCAAGAGAGCTGTGTTATGCACCGCTGAAACAGAAACTAAGAACCTAGTTGATATCAATGGTCAGGGTGTGTGTGTGTGTGTCTGATTTCATGACTGCAATGCTGAGCTGAGTTTCAGTCCACCACACCCACGGAGTCAGATGTGCACATTCTCCACATACCCCTTATCCAGTTCTTGTTTTAGCACCGACTGCCAACTACTCCAGTTATTTTTAGGTGGAAATGTATTTAGATGAACATCTGAAATGCAACATTGCTTCTGCTTTTCCCAAAACATTTTCTTTGATGGTGTTGCCGCTTGATTTCTTTTTTTTTTTTTTAGAAGTGGGCAAAAGGAACAAAAGTTGACACTTCTAATGCAATGTTGCATTAAAAGTGTTTACTAAATGAAACTTCCTGACCATTCTCATAAAAATTCATGAAGACTCCTTCATGTTCATGAGAGATGCGGTCATGTTTATGAAATTGTCACCTCAGTCTTATGCACACTCCTTTAAAAAAAGTTTACTTTCAATCAAGTTGACAAAACGATCATTTCCTAATACATCTGAAGATAAATGTAAAACTAAAATGAGTAAGGTTAAAAAAACGTTGCTATGCATTTCAACTCAACTTGCCTCACAATCATTTTGACATTTTCGAAAATGTACAAACAAGCGAAACAAAGCGAGACCTGAGATGATACTAGTTTTATGTGATTTATTGACCTGTCTTGTATTACACACATCAATGTCATCTGCACTGTAATCTATGTTAATGCAGGCAGATTATTGGCTAAAGCTGGTTGCTGAGCTCATTTCCCACTCACTGAATGGTTCTTATCTCACATCATATCGCTGCACATTCACAAAGTGTGGAGGGAGGGGGGAGGGGCGCCTCACCGGACAGAGGCTGTGACATCAGACTCACTAACTCAACTGCAAGTGTACAAACCTCTAAGCAAATGGCTCATTATTACACATCCCAAAACTGCAGCTCAGGGTTTGTCTCTTTGGAAATTATAGTTCAGTTTTATCAACATTCAGAATCAAAATGGCTTTCTGCAGCGATAAACTGCCTGAGGAATGCTGCTGTTGTCATGTTTGTTTTTTCGTTTTTGTTTTGTTAGTATTGTAGAAAATCAGAAAAAAAGAAATAATTATTCGCAAGTGTATTGACAGAAACTGCAATCAGATACATAACCTCACCACCTGAACAAGCAAACTTACATCGTACATTTGTCTCCATGTGTTGGATGTGTAGATATGTCCAAACATCCAGTCTACCTGGTTAAGTGAGCCCTTTTTACACCTCTAACCCCATCCAGATGCAACTCTTTTGCGTCCGGACATGACTCTGACTGCTGAGCTTTGTCAGTGAATGTGTTAAATCTCCAGCAAAATATGTGAAAGGATTGGTTTGCTTTCTTTGTGACAAATATCAGTGAGAGTCACAACCCCTCTGAAACCTGATATTTTGTTGTTGTTTTTTCTCAACATCTGGTAAAGGAGAGACATTCATCATTCTTTTAAAAAACCATTTAAAAACAAATCAGCTCTAATTCTGACTAAGATAACTCGAAATCAGACTATCCAAACACTGCTTTTGGTATGTAATATATGACAACATGTATGAGAAGTCTGGTGAATCTGCATTAACAGATTCACCAGGTTTACAGACGGCTCTTTCTGTCACTGTTGTATGACGGCAGAACATCTCGGGATGATGCGATTCTGGGATTCCTGAAACCCTGACAAAGGTTGCGAGGCAGATTGCCAAACCTTTTCGAATGAGATGTGACTTGGCAGCATATAGAGTATAGAGTATTATTGGAGACCTAGCTCACACATCCACCCTCATAAAAAAAAAAAAAAAAAATACTCCAGCCTTTAGAAAGCCATGAATTGTTCATCGTTGATTAAACTAGACTGACACATTTTTTCATTTTATGTAAAAGTAAACATGAGGCTGAAGATTGTAACTAAAAAGTTGATTTGTCCTGCTTTGGTAGAAAAAAAAAAAACAACAACTAAACTATCCTTTGTGCCAAGTTTCTGAAAACAACAAATACATTAATTGTTCAGTTTGAGACCTGATGCTGCTGCAAACGTCCAGGAGCAGCACCACCAAGCTGTTGATTTAAGGTGAAATTGATGAACTTGGAGGTACAGTTCCTTCTTCAACGCCACACCCACTGGCACCAAAACAACCCCACAGCATGCTACTGCCACTATCAGGCTTAACAATCAGCAGTTTTCTTAGGTTTGAAAGCCTTCGCTTGACTCCTGTGTACAAATGGCTCAAAATTGATCTTGTCAACCACACAACAATCTAGAGGGTATTTGAATTGTCCCAGTGGGTTTTGGAATAAGGGCTTTTTTTCCTTTGTCTGCTAGAGCTCAGTCCATGTTGCTGTTAATATGTATTTTTTCATTGCAGACTCAAATCTTGGTTATTGTGGTACATGCTATGGTTGAAATTTGACAGTAATTTACCCAAACATATCACAATTTCTGAATCAAGAAAGCCAACATTTTGTTTCTGGAATAGCCCTTACCTCGAGCCTATTCAATTTTTTGCGGCATATGCTTAAAAGTCATATAAGTGCCAGAAAACCAATCAGTTTATTTGAACTCTAACAATTCAGCAAAGAGAAGTGGTCAAAGAGCCAGCTGGAAATATGCCAAAAGGTTGTTAGGTGACTAGAAAAAAGTGCGAGGTATCTTTCACAGCTGCTGAAGGTTATTGGACAAAAAAATGAGAGGAATAAGTATTTATTTCAATCTGTATGTATCAGGTTGAAATAAATACTCAGTCCACCGTGGAAAAAATACTGGCAAATACAAATACAAATTATCCTGGCAACCATGTATGTGAGAAGTTTATGTGAAAACAGACTGAAACTCAAAGTTTTGGAAACACAACTTCACTCAGACATAAGGGCAAGTAATATGATGGATTCATGCATCTGCAGAAATTAAATAAAGCTTTTTAGCGTTCAAAAGATCCTCAGAATGTGAGCAACAAAGCTAGTGTTTAGATAACAGTGGTAAGGATAAATGTACCAGTTTACATAGTCATGTCAGTCATGAAGGGAACAATGGAATTGGTCCCAACAAGTGCCTTCCTATTTAAAAGAACCTTCGTGTAATTCCTCCAATAACAGATGAGACTGAATGATTTCCTCTATCCGTCACACTGGTTGGTGTCAAACTATCACAGTGTTGTTCATCACATTATTATACCATCCAGACTGCGGGGGTTATCAGTGGAAAGAATCTGCCAATTACGGAGACAAAAATAATAATAATTTAAAAAAAAAATTAACAATTTAATGATGTTGACAAGTTTAGTCACAATCCGGGTTGAGATAGAGGAGACAAACGGTGACTATATGTGGAGAAGGAAACAACATCTACACCATAATGTGTAATGATTATAGTTGTTTCTTTACAGTTAAAAGAAAAAAAAAAACATGTCAAAAGTAGTAGGCAGCAATGCATGAAAAGCTGAGTAGCATGATATAACGAAGAAAAAACACAGAGGGGACATTATAGCCTTTTATCACATTGGGAGACTAAAAGTGTAACAGGGAAGTCAAGATCAAGACAAGTTCTTATAGATACTTCATAAAAGTATTCAAAGTTTTTTTTTTTTACACATTTTGTTGCGTTACAACAAACTTAAAAAAATCGATAGAAATTTATGTGACAGGCCACTGCAAAGTATCTCATAAAAATTTAATCAAATGAAATAAAACTTTATTATTATTATTATTATTATTATATTTTAACAAGCAACAATCTAAGAAGGCAATTGCTTATGAAACTAGTTTTTTTTATTTTTATTTTATTTTTTTTCGTTACTTAGGAGATTTTCTGTCGGAGTACCCTGTTGCAAATTGTACTACATTTTACAAGATGAATAAAGGAAACATGGAGTATAAGTGGAATGAGAATTATACATAATTTATAAAAAACATTTACAAATTAAAATCTGTCAAGTGGACTGATCACATGAGTTCAGCTCTCTTTAGTCTGATAAATGGAGTAATTTAATCTCTGTATGAATCCAGCTGTTCTGTGAACGTCCTCAGAGGGCATTTAAAGAGCATCAGTACACAAAAATACCACAAAGATAAAGGGAGACGAGTCAAAAGATGGCAACTTGTCCTGAACAAGGAGGTGGCAGTGAATTGCTGTGAGGGCCCCTCTACTTTAGTGGGGACAGAGAAGCTGGTCAGAGTTGCTTGAAAACAGATGGGAGTTAAATACGGGCTAATCCTATGAGAAAACTATTAAAGCTTTATAATTAACCCTCTGATGCGTGAGTGACTGACTATACAGTCTTCCGTGAGTGGGTCCTTTTTGACCCGGGTTACAATCAATGTGTTTTTATGCTACTTTTGTCATTTTGATTCAAAATAATGTTTTGTATAATACTTTCTACTGTGTTTTATTTCACACAAGAGTTATTTCATGTTTGAAATATTTTCATTTTTCTACAAAGCTCATGACCATAGTTGAGGGTAGGAACATAGATTGCCCAGCAAATCAAGAGCTTTGCTTTTTGGCTCAGCTCTCTCTTCACCATGACAGACCGGTACAGCGCCCGCTTCACTGCAGACGCTGCGCCAATCCGCCTGTCGATCTCCTGCATTGGTGAACAAGATCCTGAGATACTTGAACTCCTCCACTTGGGGCAGGACTTCCTCCCCGACCCAAAGAAGGCACTCTATTTCTGGCTCATTTGTTTATGCATTTATTTCTATAGCTATGAATTTTTATGTTATTTATTGAGATGGTAAAAGAAAGAACCTTGGACACATTGATCAACAGGTTTTGTATGTCATTCAACACATTCTCTCTCTTGGTTTTCTCATCCAGGGTGTCAGACACACACACACAGACACACACACACACAAATAATACACATGCACAATAAAGTATAGGTGGTATTGCTAGATAGTTGGTTAGATAACTAGTGTTGGCTAACTTTGAAGAAGGCTAATATGCTAATATGACACATTTGTGAGATAAAAAATAAAGATAATACTTATATGTAAGAGTTCTTGCTGTGTAAAATAATATTACTCAGGGGTGACACTTAGGTCTCAGTGTGTTTGGTTCACAAAAAATGTTTTCCTGACAGTCACAGTTGGTAAGAAACAAAGATTCCCATTAAATTCCATAGGAAATGAATGCGGGTCATTTTGGACCCACTCACGGAAGAATGGGGTAGTAACATAAAACATGCTATTTCTTAAAATGTATAAAAGGTAAATTAAAAATTTGAATTGCATGATATCAGTAACATGTTTCTTGAGGAATACCTGGAATATGAAGTGATGAAAACTTTTCATTACAAAGATATTGCAAAAAGATGACCTCACCGGGTCAAAAAGGACCCACTTACGCATCAGAGGGTTAAGAAATAGACAAGAATTATGTTCAAGTATCTAGGCAGCATCCATCAACCCAAAGACTGTCCAAGCCAAACCATGATTTCCAGTCTCTTTATGCGTGGTATTGTTCAGTTTCCCCTCTTTGTGTGTTTTTGTGATGTGAAACCAACTCCTCATGGAAAATTTATCTGAGTTAGATAAGATGCAGACTGCTCATAATTAACTCCCATAATCTCAGTTCAGAAAATCTGAACTATCCCTTTAAGAAGGCTCATACTGCATAGTGCATATCGCATATCACTGTCACCGTTTCATACTGTAATGACTGTCTTTTGTCTTTTTAGTTAATGCTGCAGTTATCAAACATCAATCGGACGTGGTCGTCCGATTTATTTTAATTTCTCCTGCCTGAGGTTTTTTCGCCTCTACTCCCACAAACACACTAGTTTCTTCCACTGCCCAAGGTCAGGTGCCTCTATCTATATTAGCATGTAACATGAAACAGTATGTGCAGAACTCTGAATGTCCATACTCTGCAGCACAAACGCAGCAGCCATTTATAAACGTATAACCAGAGTGAAGGGTTACACTGAGACACACGCATGCATTCACATCCACACAGCCGCGCACTGCAGCAGAGTGGTGCAGTAAAGTTATCACTGCGACCTGTCCCATCAGCTCAGCCTATAACATCAACCGCTAATGTCCCATCGCTCAACCAGTAGCCTCCATAGCATCACTGAATCCCACCCTAACAGATTCTACACACGTCAGCATGTGTGTAGAATCCATTGCGAGAGATGAAGCCTGATTACAGTCAATGACGTTACAGTGAACTACAGCGAGGACTTACTTCTGCCAAGTATTCTGCTGCTTCCTCCACTGCCATGTTTGTCAGCCTGCAGCTTAAAGTGTGAAACCTGAGCACTCAATGACTGTGGCAGCTAGCCCTGGCCTGGAAGCCAGGGAGAGAGGGATGGGGGCAAGAAAAGAGAGAGAGAGGGGAGGTCCTCACAGAGAGTGAGAGAGAGAGAGAGAGATAGTGGTATTTTGTCAAAGCTAAAAATACCTGGCAATGAGTGAGAAAGTCCAGAACAAGAAAGAAAAGCTTCAACGACAATCTGGAACAAGCTCTCACTGGAGCAACAAGAGCTCTGAGGACAACATGCTGCTCTGTATGTGACAAAATTATACCACCGGCTGGGAAAAGTTGAACATGTACAATTCTGAGCCTTTACTTTAACGTTAATTCCATTCTAACATTTGTTAGAATCTACTTTGACATACTTGGGATTTCACGAGAAACAAAGTAGTCCATTATTGTCGTCAAGTGGAAGAAAAATAAAACTCAACATTCAAAACGTTTAATAAATAAAATTCTCAAAAAATAACCGGAAGTCAGTTTTTTATATAGTAAAGGCAATAAATACACATGTATATACTGCTTTTACAGTTTTTGTTTTTTTTTACTATTTTCAATAAGCACTGTGCGACTGCTATCTGAGAAAGTTGCTATGTAAAAAATAATATTGACTTACTTATATGTTTTCTGTAATCAACAAAGAGCATCATGAAAACCACTAAACACGGCAGACAGGTCATAAAAAAACCTTGTGGAAAAGGTTGGGTTATAAAACAATATCCAACGACTTGAACATCTAACAGAGAACTCTTGAATTCATCATCTGACCTGCCCATATCTGCACGTTGCACAGAAAGTAAAGTATTTGTGCTTAGTTGGATTTTTTTTGTTTCTTGTAAAAATGCTTCTAGCCGATACAACTCATACCACTGCAAAGCTTGCTTATGATTGCTTTAAATTGGTGCCACGTATTTGCATCCAGCAAAAACAGCTTTTAGTAGAGATACTGTCATTGTGTGGAGAACTGTCTCCCTCTCTGGAAGCGTTCTCAAATCATCGAAATATAGACATGACGTTCTGCTTTAGATAGATTTCTCAGTCTATCTCCAGACCTACGAATCGCTAGGGAGACATACTGATTCTCAAGTCTAAATGCACTCCGAAAACATCTGGAAGCAAAGATGAACCAGCTCCAAATTTGTGAAAACAACTCAGAGTAGCTGACCCACGTTTGACCCACAATCCTCATCCTGAAAAAGTCCCAGACAGGCGAAACACCTTTTAACTGACCAATAGCTTTCCTCTTCACTACATGAAATGTCCTGTTGGATGCAGAAAATTAGGCACTTGAATCATTATATGAGAATTACTATTGTATTTTTTTATGTCTAGAAGTAACAGTCATGTTTTGGAGTGGCCCCAGCCAACCTGCTTAATGAGGTAAAGGACAAGGAAGCCCTGCAATCTCAAAGATTTTGCGTTAATTCCGTTAAAACTAATCAGGAAGCGATTTAGGCAGCACAGTTACAGCATTTGTACATGTGACACACTAATATTTCCGAATCAGTGAGAAAATAAACAGTATGACTTCAGGGGAAAACCAGGGAAAATACCGAGTGTCGCAACCAGCGGAGCTGCAGTAATATAAAAGAATGTGTTCAGCCAGTAAACTGATTGTGGTGTGACTACTCTCCTAAATAGGGTAAGTACGTGAATGATTGGTTTAAATGGAATTGAATTCAGAAATCATTAAACATGCGTATGCTCTCTTTTCAGCCAGTCGTGTTTCCAAATAAAAGGAGCTGATATCACAATGACGGTGAGAGTTGTAATAAAGAAAACTGACTGTCGGTGTCATTGCAACCACAAAGATTTTCTCTTATTTTTGAACATATTCTCCAGCCTTACTTGCCCAACCGATTTCTGAAGTAAAACATTGCTTTATTAGTTTAACATTCGTTTTCTTAGAAATACATTTGCAGCATCAAAACGCCCCCCCCCCCTCCAAGAATAGATCTGTTTTTTTTTTCTTATATAATTTTCTGAATTTCTTCTGTATTTTCTGTTGCGCTTCCTTTTGAATCCTGTTTTCTTCAGAGTAACAGGAAAAAAAATGAATTTATGCATTTCATCTCTAATCTGCAGCTCAGAGTTGTGTTGGCATTGCTGTTGCCGGCGGCTGCGTATCAGTCGCCTCGGCCCAGAGACTGCAGCGACGTCTACAGGTCTGGCTCGGGTCTGGACGGAGTTTACGCCATCTACCCAGCAGGCCCCACCTCTCCTGTGCTGGCTTACTGTGACATGGGCAAAGACGACCTCGGTAGCTCTGCAGAAAAATGGACGGTGAGGATGAGCGAGCAAAGTTCACTACAAAACAAACAAGTAGCTTGTTTTTTTTGTTTTGTTTCCTGAGGTCACCCATCTGTTTAATGTCTGGGCTTCTATCCCCCTGCTAACCTCTGACTTTATCATAACTTTAAAGCTGTGCTTGTTTATGTTTTTATAGGCATAGTAAAGCCAACCAAAACCATTAGATGTTAAACCGTACAATAATGCAAAATTGTCAGATAATTAAGTGTTTTGCATTATACATTTAATTAACTAACTAATAAATGAACTAAAACCTGGATGTCCATTGATATAATTTTAGGATTTTTCTAGACTTATTTTAGCACCTTGCAGCCTGCCCTCAGGGTGAAATTGGTTGGATAGCCAGATTTCAGTATCCTGGTATTTTTTTTATGTCTTTCACTGTAGATTGTTATCCATACTGATTTCAGATTTGTTTGAGACTACATTTAATGAACTCATAAAATGCTACCATCTTCTTTCTGAAGCTCTCAGGCAGCTGTTTCAGTTTCAGCATGATGCTGCTCACCCTCGCTTCAACCCTAAACTACATAGTGAAAACCGAAGTTTTCGTAAAATTTTGATGTTCTAATCAAGTGTGTCTGCTTATTTCAGCCATTTTTAGAAAGAATTACTATTATGATGATTTTTGTTTCTTCGTTTACAATCAGGTGATTCAGAGAAGACAGGATGGCACAGTCAACTTCTTCATGAAGTGGGATCATTACAAATCTGGATTTGGGAATGCTGCTGGAGAGTACTGGTTGGGTATGACGAAACTAATCATGCAAAACAAGAGAAGAAACTCTCACCATGCTAAGAACTTTAATTTAGACCTAAAAAATATACGTAATAAGATTCGTTCCCTTTCCAGACTTACCCAGACTACACAGAAACCCACTTACACATTGAAAGTTTAATTTTGTTTGTTTGTTTTTTAGGCCTGGAAGTAATGCACCTGCTGACTCAAGACAGAAACTATGAGCTGAGGGTGGACATGGAGGACTTTGATGGTCAAAAGGTGTTTGCTCATTATTCTGCCTTCTCTGTTGGTCCAGAGTCTGAGGGATACAAGCTGAACCTGGGAAGTTTCATAAATGGGGCAGCAGGTAAGACACCTAGTTCTTAATCAATAGCTTTTAGAATGACTGCAATTTTTTTTATATATAATTATGATTTTCTTCCAATAGGAGACTCTCTAAGCTATCACAGCGGAAAGAAATTCACGACCACTGACAAAGATCAAGACGAGCATGGCTCAAACTGTGCCAGGCTCACATATGGTGGGTTCTGGTATAGGGACTGTTTCAATGCCAACCCAAACGGTATCTACACCTGGGGTCCTTCACCCCATGCAGCTGGTGTCCAATGGACGACTTTCAAAGGGCTTGACAATTCTCTAAAAACCATGATAATGAAGATCAGACCAGTTGATGGGTAAAACCAGGAGAAAGACATCATGAATATGGCCGAACGCATTAACACATTTCCTTGTTACAGACAACACACAACTCCAGTTGTCTTCAAATGTTCAAACAACGGATGGAGAAGTTTTTGAATTTTAATGTTTTTGAAAATGATTTATTAATCCCAAGAGGGATTTGTGGCTTATATTCCCTCTGGAGGCTGCGAATGACTGGACAACTTTGTGGTTTTGTTGATTCATTACACAGACATGGCATATTATTAAAAAATCCTGCTATTGGCCTTATACACTTTTCAAATTTGCTAATAAACTGAATTTGGGCTTTTTTTATGTTATCTGTCAATCATGATACAGATAAAAACACTAAAGCCGCTCTGGTTGAATTAAATTTGTATATATGAGTTTTACCTTCTAAATTAAATTATTGAAATTCATTTTTTTAATGAAAATTATACTTCTTAATGATGCACTTGTGAATAAATGACTTGACTTGAAAACAGACAAGCAGATCTCTGCTCATTGAAATTCAAGTCCTCTGCCAGTCCCTGGTGGTCAGGCAGTAGTACTGCAAGAACTGCGGCAGAAGACAGGCGCTTGTGTTTAAGCAGTGATAAGATGACCTAAAGAGTATCTAAAGTTCAAGTTTCCTTTCATTGTGAGGAGATGAAATTAGAAAAAATAAATAAACAGTATTTATACTTTATTAATTTAGTTTGTAAGTGACATTAGGATGTGGGCAGGTTTGAAGTTCTGCGATGCATTTGTATACTCTTGACACCCAAACAACAGACGCTGATAAAAACAAGGTGTTTGGGGTTTGTGTGTATGTGTATGTTATGCTGCACCTGATTTGCTGCTGAGAGCTGTTTTCTGATTGGCTGCTGGGCCACTGCAGTCTCTGCGTTCTCACAGCACTAAAATTACAGATGGAGGAGGATCAAAAACAGCAGGCACAAACGCCTCATCGCCCCTGCTGTCCGTCACTCCTTTCACATATCCCTCAATGAGCCAGACTTGATATGTCGAGTTTTTTTTATTTTTGTTTTTTCCCAGTGCTGCCTCACAGATCACTCAGCACATTCTTAAAGTATTTTAAATCCCACATTTAAGATACATGCCCTGAACATGAGGAAGTCTTGCGCATCACTGGGTTTCATTACTATTGGCTGGCTAATGCGCACTGCTCTTTTCTCACTGGGCGACAGCAGATGACGTTGCTTTGCTTCTCCTGCTGCCAGCTGCAGACACAGAGCCCGTGCGAGGCTGAGGGTATACACATCTGTGTGATACAGACTGTGAATCAGGAAGGAGCAACTGAAGACAGAGCTCAGATCTGTGCGTGTCAAAACTTTACCTCTGCAAGCACAGAAAGGTGTTGGGGGGTGGGGGGGGGGGGAGCACCATCCTCTGTGGGGCTGCTCCCCGCCACCCCCAGCCCCCCGTTTAACATCTCAGACAGAGACGGGGAAATGCTCATGAATAAATTAGCACCAGCCTTCAACCGAAGCAAAGCACGGCATGCAGGACGTCTACAGGGATAAGCAGTGACTGTGTGGAGCGGCCATGCAAATACATTGCTCCTTTAAGATCATCTTCATCAACTACTTCCCCTCGTTATGCAGACAGCATGGACGCTATTGGATTTTTACGATGATATCGATCCGAGTTCAGGAGGACTAACAGACGGCAGACGTGTGAAGAAGTGCTGGAACGCAGCAGTGGCTCACATTCACCGTCATATGTCAATAAGGATCAAGCGCTCATTATCGTGATAATATCGCTGCTAAGCCTCTAAAACGTGGCTGAATCATAGATTTGATGACTTTTTAAACATGCTATGCGTCTCACAAGGAGAAATCAACACAGCGTCATGAAGCAAATATTCTGAGACAGAATCAGCACAAAAACATTGTTTGCATGCGTGCTGCACTCTCAACTTCACACATTAAGACAAATACAAATATTTAACAATGCAGTAGCCACTGTGCATAAAAACACATCTATGTGAATGCTCAGGGCGTTACAGGTATAGACTCTAACTGGACCATGACATAGTTTTAAAAAAGCAGGAGCCGATAAATTTGCTAACAATACTAGAAATGACCTTAATGTGGGGAGCACTGCTAGGATTTCATAGTCTCTCACATCTTGTGTCAAAGTGACAAGGATTGTATGTGTAGGATAGTATGATGGCCTGTGTAAGATGATGTGATATGATTTGCAAAAAACAAAACAAGAATGAATGGAGGCCTAATCAATCTTGCATACAGCTACATAAATATATAATTTTAGCTTTACACTTGTACATTTCCTCGTTTCTGTCTGCCACCATCTCCAGGGATGTGTTGACATTTTTTTTTAAAGTAAATTGCTGTAACTACTTACTTCTTAAAACAGGGTAGTCCTGCATGAGCAGTGGCCCTTATAGCTCACAGTGTCTAGGTTAATTAAGGAGATGTCCTAAGAATCAATAGAGCAGTTTAGCCATTTGTACAACATCAGCATCACTACTTCCACACTCTGCTGACTCTCTGGCTCTGGCATACGTAGACACTAACATTGAGAGGCGGATCTCATTTCAGTAACTTTCACTGGAACATAAAACGCTGTTAGTGCGAATGGATTATTAGATAAATCAAATTGTCGAACAACAACAACAACAAAAAACACTTTAAAGTAAAAAAAAAAGGGACTTAAAACAGCAACCATTTTTTTAACATGAATACGTAATTAAATAAACACCATGTCTGAATTTATGGTGAGTCAAATTTGTGACATTCATATTCCCAGTTTATACATTTGTTGGGAAATAATGGAAAGAAAAGCAGGAAGAGCATAAAACTTTTGTTTAAAGGCCAAGTGAAATTCTTGAACGAACGACACAGAAAGATTACTACAGGCCCTTCCGTAGATTTGTGCAGAAAACAAATTGCAAAATACATTTTCCTGAAACAAAAACACTGTGATGCTTAACCCAAGTAAAGCAGAAAGACACTGCCATACACAAATTAGGATCTGGCATATGTAATCCCACAATCTAAAAGCCGGTCAATCTCTAAGGCTGCAAGTGAAAAACTCTGTTCTTAGAAAAAAAAAAGATATATATATATATATATATATATATATATATATATATATATATACATTTAAAATAAAATAATAAAATGTCCCCATAAAAAAAATACAAAAAACTTT